GCTGCAGTTTTCTCTCGCCAGACGACAGCTGGACGGAAGCGGCGACCTCCGGCCAGGCGCAGCTCGGGGCAGGGCCGGGGCCAGCCGGCCGGACAGAAACTTCCGGCATTGGAAATTACATGACCTGTCACGGGGTTGCGTTTCGACAACTCAAGCGCTTTAAGTCAGAGCACACATTGGCGGAGAGCTTTAGGCCAGAGCACACATCGACGTAGAACTTTAGGCCAGAGCACACATCGGCGGAGAGCTTTAGGCCAGAGCACACATCAGCGGAGAGCTTGAGGCCAGGACACACATCGACGTAGAGTTTTAGGCCAAAGCACACATCGACGGAGAGCTTTAGGCTAGAGTAAATATGGCGGAGAGCTTAAGTCCGGAGCACGCATCGGCGGATAATTTTAGGCCAGAGCACACACCAGTGTAGAGAGCCATCCGTTCTCTCGTGGACCAAAGCAGACATCTTCAGCGATTCAATCGACTGACGCAGGACTGCGGTCCGCCATCCCATCTGAAAGCAGATACCGTTTACAAGCATTAAACAATGACGCAGGCACCAGTCAACAACTGATACCAGCCTGGCCTGGCGCTGGTGAGATATCCGATATAGCTGAGAGGCAACGCAGGAAAACGGCAGCTGTCATGAGCTACACATTACGTGGTCATTCGTCACATGAACTATTTTATAAAACGAATGCGTCATATGTACGAGCGTGCGACGGGCGGCGGCATGACAGATGTAAAAGTCTAAAAGAGTGTCTTGCTGCGGCGCGAACGGTGAGAGCGAAGGGCGGCGAGGTGAGGTGATGAGCTATTCTCCCCCCCCCCCCCTGGTGAGAGGAAGAAGTCACATGGCGCGACTGAAAGGTTAGAAGACTCCGATTATAACAAAAAACGCAAGGGGATTCCAAAAGGCCAGAAGACTCCATTGATAGCAAGAAAACACAAGAGGCAAAATGCAGCAGCCTTTGCACATTCTTGTTTCGACTAAAGATGCTGAAATTCCATGACATTGCGCATTGCTGCAATGTTGTCACCAACCAGTACAGCGCAATAGCCTTCCATAACGGCCACGGACCTTAATGCACTGCACAGGGCGTCAAGGAGATAGACTCAGGGCCACTTTGAAGGTCGTTTGAGTGCGGGTGGAGGGATATCCCAACGACATAACCAATTCCCAGTATAGATTCACCTAACTTACCACCAAATTCCGATTTCCCCTGGGTTCAGGCCAATTTAGTCTTGCGTTCGGATGAAAAACGCCCTAAAACAAGTAACGAATCTGCTGCTGTGTACAATGGAGCTAGAACGGAGCTCGAACAACAGTGAATGGGGAAATACCTGGTCAGTAGGGAGGAGAAAACATTTGCTGAGAGAGGTGGCATATTCTTCAACACGTAACATGTTAACAAGACCTTGGCTACAACCAACAATGCAGCAATGTTTTAGCATAACGAGCAAGTAACTATCTGCATGAAGACACCATATTAATCGAAGATGGACTAAAGATGCCCGGACTCATGTGCTTGGAGAGTCTAAACTTTGATGCAAGCGATCTGCTTCTGGCTTCAACTTCCAGTAAACTTTAATAGCTTCTATTGGGTGCCTGCATGAAAGACAGAAACTATTCTGCACGCTAGAATAGCTTCTATCGTGGGTGCCTGCATGAGTTACAATGCAAGAAGAGCACGACTGACAATTTTGCACTTGGAAACAAATTTAAGCGCACCCAGGCACACCATTTCGGGGCATGCTATTCAACAACGTTGCATGGTTTTAGTTTACTGAATTCCACGTGTCTACGTCGGTGTGTCAATTGTCGATATTTATCCATACAGATAGCACATCCGCAACAAATCCAAAGGGCGGGAAGATGCCCCCACCCCCTCTGAATACGCCCCGTCTCTTGTGTATTATTTGTCATGCAATATACCTAGATCAATCAATTTATGAATCACAATAAGCGCAGAGATGATTATCACACGTGTGCCGTTATCAAAAGCTGCAGGCCTAACGTTGCAGCTGGCAACCGACCTGCATCGGCGGGCTTCGAGTCTTGCTTTTTCAGAACGACTAAAACCTCCCGCGGTGCCAGTTTGCCGGACAGAGGCGATCGCTGCTCTTGTGAGGTGGGCTTGGCTTGCCGTTCAGATGCTTCCTGGCTGGCCTGGGCCTGCGATGGCTCATTCTGAGCCTTCTCCAGTGGCTTCGGATCTCTCTGACCCGCAGCGGACCGAGCGGCGTCGCCGTCAAGCTGTGCAGACGGTCTGGGGTCGTTCCGATGCTCCGCAGACGGCTCGGAGCCGCTCCCGTCCTCACCGGAGGACTCGCTGCTCCTCGCAGGTAGTCCGGAGTCGCCATGGCTCTTGTCGGCTGTCTTTGAGTTGGAGCGGTCCGTGTCGGACGACTTCGCATCGCTCTGATCTCGCTCGGAGTGCTCCGTGGACCCCGGTGACATGCTGCTGTCCTCACCGACAGCCGGTGAGTCCCCGGTCTCACTGCC